ACTACTGCTGATTGTGTGTATTGGGTTGTATTTCAAAGAGCTAACCAGCGTAATTGACCTTAATGATGTTTAATGGTGCTTAATAAACTCCATTAGCACATTGCACTTGAGGTGTGACATTCACACAAACTGGTGAGCAGGTTTACAGTTTAGTGCTCGAGCTAGTCATTTACTCTTTGAAGTAAATAGGTCTCAATCAGGCATCTAAAGTGTTAGAGTTCGTTTCTTAAAAGCGATTTGTACGATCGACTGAATAGTGAAATATAATTATGTGGAAACTTTTTGAGAATCCTTTGATAAACAGATATCAAACAAACGCTGTATTTTTGTCACATCTAATCGAATAATCCTAAGAAAATGATTATTTCTTTAATATAATTAATTACGAATAGAATATGCAGTGTATACGTATGTTTTAGATATTTAGCTAACTTTAATCGTGGCATTAACTTAGTTGCTATTAGAAACTTACCTCACGTTAGCAGCTATCATTAGCCTATAGCATGTTTTGTTGTGGAAAGATGCTAGGTGCTTCTTCACATAAACTCCGTAACATATCTACAAAATCATGTAGAGATAAAAAAAAAGAAAAACGAAAAAGAAATAAATACAAATCTTGATGAATACATTTAGAAGACCCAAAGGTTGCTCACCATCAAACCGCTGAGCTTCGCACGGTCAAGCCGTGAGTTTACATGTCCAATTGGAATGGCTTCATGAAAAAAAAAATAATAATAAAATAAAATTCTGCTAACGTTCCCATTAAGTAATGAAAAACTATATTTGTCTCAATTCTCTGAACATTTAGGCCACATTAAATTATCAATTTGTAAAAAATTAGCCTATAGGATAATTATTTTTTAATGTTTAGTACAAATAATGAGCAGTCAACTTTTGAATGTCCAGAAATTTTGCATAAAATATTTTAAGCTAATTAACATAATTTGTATTATTAAAAGAATGTTTGTTTATGCTATTTACACTTGTACATAATTTGTTGTTGTTGTTGCTGTGTCCATGTGCTGTGCTGTATCACAATTTTAATACTTTTTTTTTTTTTTTTGGTTCTTTTAGTCTGGATTAAAAAGCAAAATACATTTAGTCCTAAACAATGCAAAAATACAATACAAAAAAAAAAAAAAAAACTAACTGTGGGGGAAACTGGAGCACCCAGCATGCGGTCACGTAGAAAACATGCAAACTCCTTACAAAAATGCCAACTGAAGTAGCCGGGAAGTAGCAACCTAGCAGCCCAGCAATATATTTATTCTAAATTTGTACATTGTGAGCCTAGCTTAAAGGGATAGTTCACCCCAAATGACAATTTGTTCAGTTACCCTCAAGTGGTTTCAAAAATTTTTCTGTTGAACACAAAAGAAAATGTTGTGAAGAATGTTCTCGAATGCGTTTTCCATTTTGGGTGAACGTGTAATTTTAGCCATACATTTTTATGCCACGGTCCTCCACTTCCAGTTCTTCATCACGATCATTTGGAGAATCAATGGCTTTTTCATACTCAATACATTTTAGGGTTCTGTTATAATACTGCCTGTCAAAAAACACACACAACATTTTAAAACATCATTGTTTCCCTGTTTTTTATGAAACCAAAAACTGCTAATTGAGGGTGCAAATTGAGGACACACTCCGTCTCACAATAGTTTTTGCTTAATTTTTTTGGATTTCTTTAAAACATTTAAGATAATCTAAGTACAGTACATGAGTCAGCAAAATACATAACACAGTTCTAATGTTTTTTGGATATTTGAATGAAAAAATCATGAGTACAGTATTGGGCTTTTAGGAAAACCTTGTCAAATTGTGGTTCTGGTAACATGTGTGGGTTTTTAATTACACAGTAAAAAAAAAAAAAAAAACTTTGACAACCTAAAATTGTAAGGCAAGTCAACTCAAAAAGCTCTGCAGCAAGTTGCCTTACAGTTATGAGTCTTTTTTTTAAAGTGTGGTTTGCCCTGCTATAGTAGTTTTAATGCAAATAGCTAATCATGAAAGTTAGCCAGCTAGTTTCTTAAGAACTGCTTCTCTGATGACCCTTCTGACCGGTGCAGTGACCTCCAGGCCGCCCTCTCGCTCCATTTTTGTGTAGTGTGAGAGTGACTGAGCAGCGTGCCACATTTGGCACCTCAGTCCTGCTGGAGAATGAGGGAGTCTGCCACCTGTGTGTATTTTTACACTTCTGCCTGACTACCATTAATAAAATAACAATAGTAAATATATGTTCTTTTTAGTGCTTATATAATTTGCAGGGCCATGTGTATAAAAAAGCATTTATGCATATGACAATTTATTTATTACCAGCGTAAACGTTGTTAAAGTTAGGGAAAACTGTTTTTATTGTGTCTTGCTGAAAGTGAGGAGTTTCACACCTTTGGTATGAAAATTGAAAAGGGACTTAATCCCAGTGTAGATGTAAACTGTACATTAATAAATCTGACATTTCACAAGCAAATTCATAATGCTAATGATATTTGCTGAAAGAAAACCGTGAAATTTTAATTCTGCAGCAAAAAAACATGGATTTATAAAGTTTTTTTTAGTATATAAATAAATAAATAAGAGAGGGATATCTTACAGCAAGTTAAAATCTGTAGCAAATCTGTTGAAATGATTATCTTGATTTTGTTTCACACCTTTTGCATAAATAAATGCCCATAACAAGAGGTGTGAGTAATTCACACGTGAGCACTGGCCTTGTTTTTACAAGTGCCTTTCCATGCACAGACTCACAGAAAAGCATGGGAACTTAAAATACTGTGGTTTTCCCATTTTCCTTTCAATATATTGTGCTGAGAAAGAAAAGCATACACAAACCACTGAAAACTAGATGTAAAATTATAACTTATATTTTATTATTTATACCATCAAAAAAACAAAACAACATAAACCAATCTTTTCTTACTTAGACTTTTGAAAATGATATATAAAAAGAAGCATTTAATATATACTTAAAGCTATTGCTATAGAGCCCCTTTTTGCTTTAGAGATGTCCTCTTAAAAATACATTTAAATGGCCTTTTCTTTGGTCAGATGTGGACAAAACATCAACAGAATCATTGGCATAATTCAATCATTATTTGGAGCCATTACCTTATATTAACTATTTTAATAATCTACATTGTTTCCTCCTTAGAATTATACACACGTTACATACACATACAATTTAAAAATGTCTATTTTCATACAAACAATGTCAATTTGCTGTGATATGATCATCTTCTACTGAAAAGGCATGACAAACAATAGTTGAAAAGATGGGAATCCGAAGAACGTTAAAACACGATAAAATATATTTATCTAATGTGAAATAAACACATACCTTACCACAGTAGTAAACAAATACAACACAACAAAAATCTAGCTGATGACTGAAAGCTAGTGAACGGATACAATTGGAGATAAAGATTTATCTTCTTTACAGAAAAACAAATAAAAAGTAAAACGCACATTTTTATTTTAAAGATAGAACTTAACAGTCAACGTTATGATTTGTTTTGATATAAAAAGGGAATTCGATGTCAGCACTCACTGCTACGCTCTTTTGATTTCACTGTAGCAAAGGAATTTCCCTATATTTATTTTTTTTACACACAATATACAATTTAAAAGAACACTCCACTTTTTTGGGGGAATAAGCTTATACAAGTCACCATTCAGCCGATCTCTGGGTCTGCCGGGAGCACTTTAAGCTTAGCTTAGCATAAATCATTGAATCAGATTAGACCATTAGCATCATGCTCAAAAAATTCCCAAAAAGGCTTGCGCTACTTTTCCTGTTTAAAGCGTAACTCTTTTGTATTTAGATTGTGTACAAAGGTGGACTAAAAAAATGAAAAGTTGCTTTATTCTAGGCCGATATGGCTAGGAATCTTCTTATTTTGGCGCAATAATCAAGGAACTTTGCTGCTGTACCATGATTACCATGGTTACGCTGTTACCTACTATAGTTACCTAACTGGAGACTATTTTCAGAGCCAAGCTTTAAATAAGCAATTATCAAAACCTTTTTTTTATTATTTTGTATGAGATGCTAATGGTCTAATCCAATTCAATGCTTTAAGCTAAGTTAATTGTGTGCCCTCAATTCCCGCAGATCGACTAAAAAGGTTTAAAACTCAACCCTTTAACTTATTGAAGTAAAAAGTTATATCAAGTACTAAGATGAACAGAACGTGAAAAGTTGCTATTTTCTAGGCTGATATGGCTAGGAACTATTTTCTCATTCTGGCGTAATAATCCAGAAACCTTGCTGCCGTACCATGGTTACCATGGTTATGCTGTTACCTACTGTAGCTACCTAACTGGACACTATTTTCAGAGTCGAGCTTTAAAGAACAAATTTGTTGAAACCTTTTTGGAAATTTTTGAGTGAGATGCTAATGGTCTAATCTGATTCAATAATTTATGCTAAGCTAAGCTAAATGTGCTTTCTCCAGACCCGGATATCGGCTGTATAGATTAGAAAATAGTAAAACTTAACTGTTTAACTTTTTAAAGTAAAAAGTTGTATCAAGTACTAAGATCACCAGAAAGTGAAAAGTTGCTATTTTCTAGGCTGATATGGCTAGGAAATACTTTCTCATTCTGGCGTAATAATCAAGAGATCTTGCTGCAGTACCATGGTTACCATGGTTATGCTGTTACCTACTGTAGCTACCTAACTGGACACTATTTTCAGAGTCGAGCTTTAAATAAGAAATTTATTAAGACCTTTTTGGAAATTTTTGAGTGAGATGCTAATGGTCTAATCCAATTCAATGATTTATGCTAAGCTAAGCTAAATGTGCTCCTTCCAGACCCAGCGATCAGCTGAAAGAATTAAAAAGCAGTAAAATTCAACTTGGGAGGTAGTAAATTAGGTCTATTTTCAAAAAAGTGAAGTGTTCCTTTAAACATGCTCTACAACTTAAAGAAGTAATACTATTAAAGTAACCCTGCAGTACACTGAATCTACCATGACACCATATCTTATCTTTCCAGCCTTTTTTTTTTTGCAGTCAGTGTCCAGCAGGCTAATCATCCCGTGTCCATCTAGACCAAAATACTGAGGCCTTGAAGAGTTTGGCTTTTATTTTCACTGAAGAATGACCTCTCGAGTCTCAGGTAGCTTGAATGCTAGGAGCCCTCCGCAGACCAGCGCTGAGAAGGACAGGATTATAGGTATAATCTTGGTGATGCCAATGAACTTGCCAAAGATGAAACTGCTAATGATAGCTGCCAGTTTGCATGTGCCGTTCAGCACACCGAAAGCTGTGGCTCTGTGGACACAAAGGATGGATTATTGAACACGATAAGGAACACATCATGTTTAATGTGATGTAAACGAGGTTTTAAGGCATAGAAGTTTAGATTATTTTATACAGTATGTGTTTTGTGGGTTGTTCAAATGAAAAATATCTATTAGCAAATTTCTAGGCAATCAAATACAAGTAGTGTAGGTGGAACAGTACAGTATATTAAATGGAACAAATGGTAGACCAACAGAACAATATTTATAAGTTTTATGAGTCTTACACATATTTTTAGCATTTAATCGATTTAGCATATGCATCTTTTGTCAAAAATTAAATTTAAATAAATAAATGGTGGTCATAATTTACAATACTGTTTAGTTTTATTTTTTTATATGAACACCTTTAATGGACAAAGAATTTATTATACACCAGGAGTCACCAACATGGTGCCCGTGGGCACCAGGCAGCCCGCCAAGTTCACATGAGTTGCCCGCGGGCCTGTTCTAAAAATAGCTCACCATAGCACCACATACTGTATGAGTAAGCTGCATCTAATATATTCTTTTTAAATCACACTTGCATTGGTGTACATTTAAAAATTTTATTAAATTTTAATTTAATTTAATTAAAATTTTAATTTAAATTTTAAAGTTATATATATATATATATATATATATATATATATATAAACTTTAAAAACAATTTCAGACAATTGAAGTGTTGCATATTGAAACTTATCTTACTTGTTAAATCATTGTTGACAACTACTGTGAGAAATCATTAACACGAACAATGTCTTCACATAGATGAATATTATTAATTTTTAATAATAACATATAATTAAAAGTAAATTAAGAAAAATGCGTTATTTAATAACTGGTAGCCCTTCACACTAATCGGTACCCAAGAAGTAGCTCTCAGTTTCCAAAAGGTTGGTGACCCCTGTTATACACTAATCATTTACTGGGCGATGCAGTGGCGCAGTAGGGCTGTTGCCTCACAGCAAGAAGGTCGCTGGGTTGCTGGTTTGAGCCTCGGCTCAGTTGGCGTTTCAGTGAGAAGTTTGCAAGTTCTCCCTGAAAACATGTGGGTTTCCACCGGATGCTCCGGTTTCCCCCACAGTCCAAAGACATGTGGTATAGGTGAATTGGGTAGGCTAAATTGTCCATAGTGTATGAGTGTGTGTGGATGTTTTCCAGAGATGGGTTGTGGCTGGAAGGGCATCCACTGCGTAAAAACATGCTGGATAAGTTGGCAGTTCATTCTGCAGTGTCGAACCCGGATTAATAAAGGGACTAAGCCGACAAGAAAATGAATGAATGAATAATCATTTACTGTAGTTTTGTAATTAGTTTTTTGAGCATGAGATACTTTCTTCCTTAAAGGACACCTATTATTATCTCAGGTGTGCCTTGTCTGTAACATGTGAGCTTAAAATATCTATTTAAAAAACACACACAACCATTTTAACTTACAAAGCTGTATATGCACTTTTTTAGCTGGCAACATAAACACGTAGTTTTCATTGTGTCTAAATCTGAATGGGCTGCTGCTCCCCACCCCTTTTTAAAAGTGGGTACAGCATTTATAGATACTTCTGCAACACCATACAAAACATTTGCATGCATGTTAACCCCTGACATACAGTTGACGTCAAAATGATTAGCCCTCTTATAATTTTTTTCACTTTCAAATATTTCCCAAACGGGGCGACATGGTGGCTTAGTGGTTAGCACTATTGCCTCACAGCAAGAAGATTGCTGGTTCGAGCCCCGACTGGGTCAGTTGGCGTTTCTGTGTGGAGTTTGTATGTTCTACCCGTGATGGCCTGGGTTTTCTCCAGGTGTTCCGGTTTCACCCACAGTCCAAAGACATGCGATAGAGGTGAATTGAATAAACTAAATTGGCTGTAGTGTATGAGTGTGTGTGTGAATGAGTGTGTATGGATGTTTCCCAGCACTGGGTTCCAGCTGGAGGGGTATCTACTGTATAAAACATATACTGGATAAGTTGGAGGTTCATTCTGCTGTGGCGGCCCCTGATGAATAAAGGGACTAAGCTGAAGGAAAATGAATGAATTAAATATTTCCCAAATCATGTTTAACAGAGCAAGGAAATTTTCACAATATTTCCTATAATATTTTTTCCTCTGGAGAAATTATTATTTGTTTTATTTCGGCTAGAATAAAAAGTTTTTAATAATTAAAAAGCTATTTTAGGGGTCAATATTGTTAGCAATATTATTATACAATAACTTTCCTAATTACCCTAACCTAATTAACCTAGTTAAGCTTTCAAATGCCACTTTAAGCTGTTTAGAAGTGTCTTGAAAAATATCTAGTCAAATATTATGTGCTGTCATCATGGCAAAGATAAAATAAATCAATTATTAGAAATAAGTTATTAAAACTATTATGTTTAGAAATGTGTTGAAAGAAACTTCTTTCTGTTAATTAGAAATTGGAAAAAAATAAAAATAAACAGGGGGTCTTCTTTTACTTTTTGTTTTAACTGTCAAATGTCAAGTGTATATAAAGAAAAACATGATTATAAATATTTACTATTATTTAGGAAGAATATACCTGTAGTTCAGCATGTAAATGTACTCTAAGGTGTATTGACTGTATTTGTTTTCTGTTATTTGTGTTCTGATGGCTGTTTTTGTACCTTTTTGAGGCTGGATAGAGCTCCACTGTAACGACCTCGATGCCGTTCCAAGCTGCAGCTCCGGCTGCAAAGAAGAGGCACTGGAACAGAACCACAGCCCACTGACTGAAGCACAGGAGCAGGAAGAATGTGCAGACGGCAGAGCCTAACATGGATCCTCCTGCAAACAAACACAAACCCAGACACACAATTCATTTGGATACGAAAAACACAGCAAATGTTCAAAAGTTATTTGGCCTGAAAACAGCAGTGAGTGTTCAGCTGAATGGGTAAAAAATATGCATATACAGTATACAGCTAAAGTCATGGCAGTTTATTCCGCTGTGGCGACCCCTGATATATAAAGGGACTAAGCCTAAAAGAAAATGAATGACTGAATATAGTTAAATCAAAATGATTAGCCCTCCAGGTGAATTTTTCTTTTTCAAATATTTCCCAAATGATGATTAACGGAGGAAGGAATTTTTCAGTTTTTCCTATAATATTTTTTTCTTCTGGAAAAAGTCTTATTTTTTTTATTTTGGCTAGAAATAAACATCTCAGCAGTGTGGAAGTCAGAAAGTGATTATAAATTTTTTTTAAAAATCTGAAGCATCTGTGGAAGACGCTTTGTCGCCCTCCCTTCTCCCCCTCGGCCCGGTCTCACACTGCATCTTTAGCTTCTAAGCCGGAGCACACTTCACTGATGATGCTGAATGAATGTTCAGTTTAACAGGAAGAGATGCGCTCAGCACAGTGGAGATTGCTTTAGTTCTATTGTTTTGTATTTATTTATTTTTTGTTATTTTGGGTGCCGTACTGATCCACAAGTTTTGACGCTTATAAATGATCATAAAAGTCCTCATGCTCCATTTATTAGGAGGTTTGCTGAAGGCATCAGCTGACGTGCAGCGATGGGGTTTGCATTTTTAAAAAACTATGACAGCTCGTATTTAATGAAAAGTAAGAATGATTATTAAATCCATATGAAACAGTCAAGCATACAAGCGTACCTCGCATGAGCCCAACTAAACCATGCTCTGGCACACCTCTTCCAAATGGGCCAGGGCCAGTAAACCTAACCACACCCAAGTATGATTCGGAGCACTCACAACTGTCAGACAAACCAGGGGAGGGATGTCAAATGTGCCTGGGCATGGTTTGGATAGCCGATTGTGTGTACACCCTCATACAGGTTTGTAAAGAAATAAGGCTGAGAAAATATGACAGAAATTTCATTTTCGTCTGAACATCCTCTTTATGCCTGATTCACATGGATCTTCAGCGTCAACGATTGACAGAGGGCGTGTCTGAAGTTGGGGCTGATGTGATTGTCATAACAGCGTCAGCCAATGAAATTAGTCAGCAATTGCCTAGTGTCTGAGCTGATTGGCTGACGCTTCCGTTGGCACTTAAAAAGTTGAAAAACTCCCAACTTCTGCAGCGAGCAACACCACTGAAGTGATGCCGATAGACCCACAATTCAGTTCAGCAATGCTGACGCTGACACCCCATGTGAATGGTCCGTTCATATTAGCTTTCTTCAGTAACCACTCACCTATAATTTTAAGTCGTCCTATTTTATCCATTAATAGACCTGCTAAGATGTTGCCTGGTATTACAGACAAACTGCCCAGGAAGCTGTCTAGATAGATCAGGATGTCATTTTCCTCCTGGAAATTGAGATGGCAGCCTTTTTTGGGGTGCAAAAACGTTGTGTTTTCCAGGTTACAGTTAATGAACTTGGAATCTTCCCACAGGTCTGAAAGAAACATGACAAGAGCGTCGTAAAACAATCCTTAATGATGAAAAAGCATCAAATATCAACTGGGATGAAGGTCAATATATGGGTCAAAAGACAAAAAACAGATTTGAAAACATTAAAAAAACACTAATCTAGTTTTGTTTGAGTTGATTACCGGTATTGTAGAAGACTGTGTTTTTCAGGGTGCAGTTCTCGAAGAAGGTCTCTGTTGATTTGATGTCCTCAAAATAACAATTCTCAAAGAGCGAATCCTCGAACTTCACATTTCTTATTTCGATGTTGATAAACCTGCAAATAAAGCACATAAAACTACTTAACAAATACACAAAAATGCTTATTTAAAACTACTTTATTTGAAATGAACTGAAGAATTTAACTAAGGATCTGAAAATCCTTGTAGCAAACTTACGTGTGTGTTATTTCAAGAAAACAACCATTTATTTGTGTTGTGTTTTATTGTCATTTGTTTTTTATTAATATTGATGATTGTCATCAGAGGCAGAACCGGGACATTTCCTGGTGGCCTGACTGTCCATCTGGCCTGCCACAATGATTCTGGCCTGCCGTCCCCTCCCCCCACACTTTTCATCAACATTGCGCTTCTCCCCCCCACCTTTCATAAACATCGCGCTTCAAGAAGAAGAAGAGGGTACGTATTTACACATGATCTAGGAATGTTGTCTAGTTTATCCATTCTGGTGTAAAATTTTAAAAATAATGGAGGATTGGCTAGGCTGTGAGTTACCTGTAGAGCCTCGGCTATGCTCTCTGGGTGACAAATTAGTGATAGCTAATATTGGTAAAAATTCCTTGATTCTTCTCAAGATTGGATGCATTACAGCTGCTTGGATGATACTACATAATTGGAAGTGTCCCAGAATGCCAGAAATGAAGGAGTGGATCAATGGGATGATTGAAATTGCATCGTATGAGTGTGTGTTGGCGAGATTAAACAATGAGGGAGAAGTACATAGAAAATGGGATAATCTTAGGCGACATCTAAAATTAGGATGAATGAGTATCTACATTCAAAGATACCACAACCTTAATTTCCATATATGTTTGCTATATGTTGTTCTTCTTAGTTGAATTTTCTTGGTGTACGTGGCTGAATATGTAACATGTATCATATATACGTGTCATGTGAAGTGTGTTCTTTGTTCTTGGCTGTTGAACATTAAAAAAAAAGGTTGAATAACAAAAGAATAAATAAAATATGTTTCTTAAGGACAAATCAAGGAATTGTTTAGTGTACACCTAGAGACTACATTTCACAACCGATAGATAATAATAATATTATTAATTATTATTGAAAAAATTATATCTTTTATTCAGCAAGGACACATTAATAGGAGTAAAGACTTTCATAACTTTACAAAAAGTTAAATATATCAAACTAATGCTTTCTTGTTTTCAACAAAAATAAATAGGGCAATAATGCATTCATTGGTCCTTCATTCTGTTAAACATCATACACTACCTGACAAAAGTCTTGCCACCTATGCCAGTTTTAGGACCAACTAATAATAACTTGACTTCTAGTTCATCATTTGGTATCAGAAGTGGCTTATATGAAAGGCAAAGACCTCTAGATTATGCTTACTTGACCAAAATAAAATATGATCATGCCTTGATTTTGAATTATTTAATTAGGACAGTAAGGTCTGACTTTGCTCAGACAAAAGTCTTGTCACTTAACAGAAGTAATGTAAAGTAAATAATATAAAGTAATGGTGCAGTGGAAAAAGATTTAATATTGTGTATGACTCCCATGAGCTTGGAGGACTGCATCAATACATCTATGCAATGACTCAAATCACTTATTAATAAAGTCATCTGGAATGGCAAAGAAAGCCTTCTTGCAGGACTCCAAGAGTTCATCAAGATTCTTTGGATTCATCTTCAATGCCTCCTCCATCACCTTACTCCAGACATGCTCATTAATGTTCAACCTGGTGACTGGGCTGGCCAATCCTGGAGCAACTTGACCTTCTTTGCTTTCAGGAACTTTGATGTGGAGGCTGAAGTATGAGAAAGAGCGCTATCCTGCTGAAGAATTTGTCCTGTCCTGTGGTTTGTAATGTAATGGGCAGCACAAATGTCTTGCTACCTCAGGCTGTTGATCTTGCCATCCACTCTGCAGATCTCTCATTCGCCCCCATACTGAATGTAACCCCAAACCATGATTTTTGCTTTACCAAACTTGACTGATTTCTATGAGAATCTTGAGTTCATGCGGGTTCCAATAGGTTTTCTGCAATATTTGTGATGATTGGGATGCAGTTCAACTGATGATTCACCTGAAAAATCTACCTACTGCCACTTTTCCAAATGAAATGAAGTCAAGTTATTATTTGTTGCTCTAACAACTGAGATTGATGACAAGACTTTTGGCAGGTAGTGTACACATCCTAACCACTGAGAAATATAACGTGATATTGTCCTATAGTATATGTAAATTTACCTGTCGTGAACATACTCCCCCTCTTTGTGGAGCTGATTTTGCAGAGTGAAGTTGAAATGAAAGCGTTCGACTCTCTCACGGTGGAAGATCTTGACGTTGGACTCGTACTCTTCAAACTGGAGGTACTTGATCTGGTCTGGAAACCACGTGCCTAGGCCGTAATAACTGTGTAATGGAGGAGGATGGATTAATACTGTAAATGATAAAGTTATTAGACAGCTTTTCTGAAATACTTGATTCTGATTGGTCAATTGTGACATTGCGAGGTATGTCATTCCTAGATAACAACTGATTAAACTTATGACACAGGCTTATCTGGGCACTACAGGTCATCTTGACCATGTATACTCATATACAGTTGATTGATTAATGTTAATTTATTATTCTTTTTTAAATATTTCCCACGTGAGGTTTACCCAAGCAATGACATTTTCATAGCATTTCCTTAAATAAATAAAAAAAAACTTCTGGGAAATGTCTTAATTCTTTAAGTTTGCCGGGAATAAAAGCAGTTGATAATAGTATTAGCCCATTTAAGATTTCTTTTCTCAATTTTTTTACAGAACAAACATAAATATGTTACATATAATAAAGTAGTGAAGCCTTTAAATTGCACTTTAGCTGAATACTAGTATCTTGCAAAATAACTAGAAAAATAGTATGTACCCTACAGTTATCATGGCAAAGACGAAAGCAATTAGTTATTAGAAATTAGAAATTATTTAAACTATTATGTTTACAAATGTGTTGAAAAAAAATCCCTCCATTAAGCAACACCTATATTAATATTATAAAACAATAATAAATAATAATAATAAAGTATTACATCATTAATAAAAGTATTACAATTCACAGGAGGGCTAATAATTTTGGCTTCAACTTTATCTTTTTCGCTGCTTAACTTTTTAGCGCCATCTTGTGAGTGAATAAGGCGCAGGTTAGTGGTTTCATTTTTCTTTCTGCAATCTTTACATTTATTTAGGAGTTTAGGAGCAAATTATAACGACTCCGACCAATGTTTTGTGTTTAGATTTAATTTTGTGTGTTTGTTTGTGGTTGTTTTTGACAAAACGTCTATTTTTCTGCTAGAAATCAGCCTGGATGTACAATATCCATTAGCTAAAAGGAGTCGTTTACTGTGTTTTTACGGTCTAGAGATCTTAAAAGATCTTACAGGTTTTTTTTTTAACTTAGAACTTGCTGTCTATGTCCCTGCTGACAAAAACAGCCTAAGCTGGTTGGCTAGATTTAGCTTGTCGACCAGCCTGGTTTTAGAGGTGTTTTGGCCGGTCCAGGCTGGTTTCCAGCCATTTCCAGCCTGATTTTAGCTGGTTAGGCTAGGAGCCCAGCCAAAACCAGCTAAGTCTAGCTTAATTTCCAGGGTGGCCAGCTAAGAACAGGCTGGAAATCAGCAGGAGACCAAAGAAAATACTGTAGTAATTTATAGTAAATACTATAGTGTTTTAAACCAAACAATAACAATGTGTAATATAATGCATAGTATTTATTATTCATAGGATGCATATGTTATAGTATATAGTATAGTAACATGAATGAATGCCATGTTTTAAACTGGTGGTATATGAGGAGACCCCCCCCCCCCCCCCCCCCCCCAATTGTGTAAAGTGCTTTGAGTGCCCAGAAAAGCGCTAAATAAATGTAAGGATTTATTCTTATTCCTATTATTACTACAGTATATTGAAGCGTAGTGTAATATACTGTATATAGTTATAGAAAACCTATTAGTTTTAGGTCAGCTGTTTATATTACTATAGTCATTGTATTACCACAGCAATTAAAAGATTAACATGACAGATTATTTCAAGTACTTTACTATAATATGGTTCAAAAACAGCATAGTATTCATTATGAATGACTCTAGTATGTTTAATGTGGTTAACAACAACACTCACCATTACATTAGTCAACACAGACAGTACACAGTAGTGTGAAAGTCACTTTCACCTTTGGGCTATAAGGTCACGTTCTCTAGAGCTGCTCACCTGAAGGCCATAGTAAACCACACAATGGCAATGAACAAACCATGGAGTCTGACATCAGGTGCAGCCAATGACAACATGTTCTTCATCACCTTCAGGAAAACAATGAAAACAATCATTTCGGCATCAAAACAAGGGATAATTCACCCAAAAATTTAAATTTACTCATACTCGAGTGGTTCTAAACTTTTTATTCATTCATTCATTTTCCCTTGGCTTAGTTCCTTATTTATCAGGGGTCGCCATAGTGGAATCACAGCTTCCAACAATTCCAGCATATGTTTTATGCACGGGACGCCCTTCCAGCTACAATCCAGTAAAGGGAAACATACAGTGCACACACACACATGCACACACACACACACACACACACACACACACACACACACACACACACACACACACACACACACACACACACACACACACACACACACACTCACTATATTGCATTATAACTCCATATTAAAGCCAGAAACTAAGCTTTTATTTCCACTGCAACTGATGATCAACAGCAAAAATGACAAATTTGACCTCTTCTCAACAGGGAAAACCCCCAACAATCAAGAATGCATAATAATATAATGTCATGTCTTTGCAATAAAAAAAGTCATTTTAATGGAAGTCAATGGGGGCAAAAACAGACACTAACATAACAAAAGGGTAGTCAGTTTGCCCAGAAAGCATTTTTTATTTTTTTTTTTAATTTAAAGCATTTTACCAAAATATGTGTCAAAATAAGATTTGTTATCAAAAAACATTGGATTTGCACATACACTCTCGGACTTGCACTCTCAGGCAAAACCGCTTCCTCTGCAAGTGACGTCTTTTACAATCGACACCTGTACCTGCTTGCATGAAAGCATAGATATTTACATTTGATGTCGCCTACCCTGTTGTCGTCTATAGGAAGGAATACTTCAATAGAGTCACAGGGTTGCACTTTTTTTTTTTGGGGGGGGGGTATACATTGTATACAACTTAAGTATTTAGAATTATTAGACAATGTCATCACTGGCAATGCAAATTAACTGGAAACTTCCGATTTATTTGTGTCTATTGCAAGGGACGTGATAGGAGAGTGCAGGTGTCGATTGTAAATTACGTCACTTGCAGAGGAAGCGTGGATGCCTGAGAGTGCAAGTCCGAGAGTGCAAGCCTTAAAAGTGCTAGTGCAAATCTGCAGCCATACCCTTCTCCCAAATCAACAATCAAAATCACTCCAGAGTGGATGAAAACATCCCCAACAGCACTTGAGGGTTAACTCAGATTCCAGATGTTCACATGGTTGTATTTCAGCAAAGTATCGTCCTAGTATAACAAAACCTACATCACTGGGATGCTTATTTATTTAAAGTTCAGGTGTCTCATTTATGAATGTGGCATTTCCACTCCCTACACAAGAGATCTGTGATGGGAGAATGTACCAAGTAAACATATTTCATTTAAATTTTGACTTAATTGAACCATTCAAACCATCATATGAACCCTAATTATTAATAATAAAAAAAAAGATTCTGGTGTAGGTTTGGGAAGGTAACAGTATGTATAAATCCAGGGGCCGGACTGGGACCAAAAATCAGCCCTGGCACTGTAGCCATATTACCACACCGGCACAGCCCCATACACAGACACGCACATTTACTACTTATATTGGTGTACAGATGGTGAAATAAAATAAGCACTACCATATTTAATAGATATTTAAACATTTGATGTATGTGACTGGAACTAAACAACTCATTTATAACAAATTTATACATGCAATCAGTTCATTCATTTATTTTCTTGTCGGCTTAGTCCCTTTATTAATCTGGGATCTCCACAGCGGAATGAACCGCCAACTTATCCAGCATATGTTTTACGCAGTAGATGCCCTCTAAGCTGCAACCCACTGGGAACCCCCCCCCCACACACACACACACATTCATCTACATTCACTACGGAAAATTAAGCCCACCCAATTAACCTATAGCACATGTGTTTGGACTTGTCAGCGAAACCAGGAGGAAACTTACGAGAACATGCAAACTCCACACAGAAACACCAACAGAAACACCAACTAACTCAGCCGAGGCTAGAAATAACGACCTTCTTGCGCCCCTGCGCTGTGCCCTTTCGACACTATTTCAGTTAATATTATGCATTTGGCAGCATCTGATTTCTTTGAGCTTTTCGGCACCACTTTTTCTTTTTTATGGTCCATCTCTGACATTTAGCTTGTGTTGCACTTAGTTTATTTGACATTCTTGACAGATTTTGATTATGTCTGCGTAACCTCTAATTGGGTCAGACCATTTCGAAACCAGCCGATCATTGTCGATTGGGCCAATGCTTAACATTTATTATTATTATTATTAGTATCATCATCATCATCATCATCATCATAATACTCATATCTTGAAAGAGATAAAAGCTGCCTGCATGTAAAACAATACATATAACAAAAAATAAATAAATTTAAAAAATAGCTCACCGGCTCACATTTAAAGAATGGTCCGGCCCTTCTGGCATTTGCCAGAATTGTCAGATGGCCAGTCCACCCCTGTATAAATCTTGTGGTCCAGAGTCAAATATCTGTTTCTAAATGCTCTACTACTATGAACTCAGGTCTGAGAGGTTTACATATCTTTCTTCTGTTCTTATAAAGTCAGTCTCATTTTTTTTGTTCATTATTTTGACTAAGCCATACTCAGAGATAGAGGTTTCCATTGGTGTTTAATCTGGGAGGAAACCTAAATTTTTACTTGTCACGTGTAGTTGAAAGTGTTTTAGTGAGGTGTGATGAAACAGCTTCCCCTATTAAACTGCTGCTCGTGTTGCTTTTTGTGCTGTTGCACATTTTATGCAATAGAACATTTTGAAAGGAGCACAGAAGAGCCACACCTCAAGGTAGGAAGTGTAGTTTCATCTTTTGATGTTCTAACTGGTGTAGTCGAACTTCACGTATTGGCAAGCATTTGAGGTATAAGCTTATATCAGCTTACATCACAGGTGTACTGTAGGGAAATTTTAGACTACTTAAAGGCAGTTTCACTGGTCATTGGTGTATTCAGGTTCAGCCAGGTATTTTTTTCAGAGAAATTGGCAGATCTTATTGATTTTTATTATTATTGTTATTTTTTATTAATAATGCTTTTAAAGATTTATTTTTGGCATTTTTTTTTGTCAGTAGGTTGACAGGAAGTGAAGTGGGAGAGAGAGTGGGCTAGGATCGGGAAAGGTCCACGAGCTAGGATTCGAACTCGGGGCGCCCAGAGCCCATCCGCACTTTATGTCGGCACACTAACCACTGGGCACTTGCTATTTTTTCTTGTATTTCGTTTCATACTAGTTTGTATGTCTGTAAATGAGAGTATTGAAGAACAAATTTTAATTTTTTGGGGGATTTTGGTTCTTAAAATCCTATTTTAGGGCTCACAGTACAGTATGTGGTTAATTTCCTGAGATTTTGGGATGTCAGTGTGGCTGCGTAAGTAAATTGTATCTCACAAAAGTCACTAAAAATTCACTTCGTCACGCTGAAGAACAAATTATTTTAAAATTAAAAACTTCTATTAAAGAATAATGTACCCATATGTGTGCTAATTAGTAATAACTAATCTGTAATCTAAAAATATTAAAGGTGTTTTACTATCTTTTTTAGATTTATTCATATGAGGCTCTATGTTGTTCAGTCTCAGAGATATTGATGTCAAATTTTCTATTGTCAAACAACATAATTAGTTTAATTCAGTCATTCACTTTCTTTTAGGCTTAGTCCCTTTATTAATCTGGGGTCACCACAGCGGAATGAACCGCCAACTTATCCTGCATATGTTTTACACAGCGGATGCCCTTCCAGCTGCAACCCATCACTGGGAACCATTCAAACTAACTCATTCACACACAAACACTACGGACAATTTTAGCATACCCAATTCACCTGTAACGCATGTCTTTGGACTTGTGGGGGAAACCGGAGCACCTGTAGGAAACCCACACGAACATGGGGAGAACATGTGAACTCCACACAAAAATGCCAACTGACTCAGCTGAAGCTTGAACCAGCAACCCTCTTGCTGTGAGGTGAACATGCTATCCACTGCACCCCCGTGGTGTCTGATTAGTTTCAAATTTTCATAAAAGATATTTGCACTTGTTGAGGCACAGATTCAAGTATAAAATGTACAAACAGGCTTAAAGTAAGATTTCAACTGTAAATTCATGTCAACCTATCTTTAAACTGAAAATAAATAAATAAATAAATTGCCAATGTTTTCAAAGTTTTGCAAGATTTTTTTTTCTTACATTAAGTCAAAAAAAGGAGAGGAATCCCTAATTTTTAAATATGTGATATGAACTTTACTTGTGCTTTTTAAGTAAACATGTCTTGCTTTATGGACCATGATTTGTTTAGCAGAATCAGATGTCAAAAAGTAATGGTTTGTGAGCAGAGGCTTCACTCTTACTTTTGGTTGTGTGAACACTAGGCAGAGAAAACTGCGCACGAGAGAAGAGGATTAGGATGGATATTATTAGAGTTGTCTGTTTATCCTTTCACCTGATCCTCCTTAAATCTGACAAGGCTGCTTTATTTACTGTGCGCTAAAAATTCATTAAGAAAAAAGGACACAATGGATTACACATCAAATTGTTCAATCTACATAGTGTCCAGATTTCACCTCAAAAAACAAAAACAGCAAATAAATATACATTCTGCATGAAGAAAATTAAGCCTATTTTTAAGCACGTTAAGGTGAAAAGAAGAAATTGTGATCAAAGAACAACCTGACATGAAGTACGTTTTTAAAAACTTTATAGCATTGTAAATCGTTGATTATGCTAGTATTCCATGGAATAAGCCAATTTATAGACAAGTTAATTGCCAGGGTATAAACAAATTAAAACTAGTACTGCTCTCAGCACAGTTTATTATAATTTATAAAATCTAAATTAGTCTAATTCTTTTCCATTGACTTTGCAGCACAGTTTTGACCACATTTTTGTGAGCTACAACACTTCCGCTTTCTAAATGAGCGTCAGTTTATGCCCACTTTTTCTAAGAGTGATTTTAAAACTTGTGTTAAATGATCTAAAAGTTTCCCAAACT